ACAGCTCATTCTCAGTGAGTCCGTCCAGCTCAACCCACCAAACTCAGACTGAGAAATGTATGGAAGCCCATTTATGCCAATGTGATGGAGGAAAAAAGAATTCTATAAGTGATTATAATGAGAAACCTTCTCTAAATATTGTAAAATATTTATAATACTGCTTTTATATTTTATTTTTCTTTATCAAAACAAGGTCCTATTTCTGTTTGTTGATACTTTGAACTGTTTATATCATTAAAATGTTTGAGTTTCAGCCTCGTAAAGCTCCACCTGCTGCAGTCAGTGCCCGTCGCTCTGCTCTCTGGCAGCTGAATACCTCAAATGTTCTGTAATGGTGTTTCAGGCTCTTAATCAGACATCAGCCTCAGAGAACCACAGTGAGAGCTTTTCTTCTCCCCGGGTCAGTGGATTTAGACAAACCGCAGGATGTAATCCTGTTTTCCACTCACAGACGAAGCTGTGAACCCGGCGAATCTTGGCCTCTAAGTAGCCGAGGCGCCGTCCTGCCCTCCGCGGCACGGCACTCAGCCAGGGCAGGGTGGGGGGTCCCCAGGCTCGAACCAACCAGGAACAGCAGGAACAAGACCCATCAGGGTATCTGAGAGTGTTAAAGAGAGAGAGAAAGAGAGAGAGCAGTGTGGGGTCCAAATGATGAAAGAGAAGAAGAAGCTGTGGCTCAACTGCTGGAATACAGAAAGTTTTTACCATTAAAGGTTCAATAATGTGAGATTCTGAAGCATTTTATGTTTTATTTCTATATATTAATCACTTTTTATCAGCAGTGAGTGAACGAGTTGTAGTGTTGCTTGTTCCTCTGCGCCTGTTGACTATTTCTATGTGTTTATGCAAGGATTAGGGTCAAAAAGGTTGGACCTTTATGCTCCCGAGTGCCTTCTCTCTCCACTTCCCTACAGTTCCAAACAGTGGCAACACTAGCTAACTTCTTCCCAGGCTAACGGACATGAACAGTCTTGATTCTAGTCAACAATAAATGATTAAAGTGAACTATATGTTCTACTATCCAAGATTGCTGCGAGGCAGGGGCATCCAAGCTTATGCGTGTGGTCTGTGTTGTTTGTATGTTGGGTCTGTGTTGTCTTGTAAGCGGTGTGGGTCTGGGTCGGTCGCTTACGGTGTGGGTCTGGTGTTGGTTGGTTCGTCTGTTGTGATGGGCTGATTTTAAACAGGGATAAGTTAGTAGCATTAGCTGGATCCAATAAAATATAGGAACATTCAGATATAACGTTATTCTAAATATGATTGATACTGAACCTGTTCACACATAAACTACAGACTGACAGACGGAAAACAGTGGAGTTTCAGTTTTATATAAACACTGGATGTTACGACCAGCAGCCGGTTTCAGGTTTAATATCAAACCTGCTGAAGCTCTTGTTCGCTGCACCTCGGGGGGCTGCGGGTTGGGCGGGGCCGCAGGGTACGGTGGCGGTAACCTGAGTGGGCGTGGAGAATCAGACTGCACGCTCAGGTGTGTTTACAATGATTCAGGTTTCTCCAGATTTCCTCCTCAGTGCAGGCTGACAGCTGGAGGCAAAACAGAGGAGAGTTTTACCTTCAAACACTCACTAGTGTACTAATTTAGAAGAGTTTACAGAGATTATGGAGAAGCCCATGATTAAAATAAAAATACTGAGATATTAAGTGATAAAGATTTGACTAAGTCAAACAAATGCACAAAGTCACAGGGATACACTGGTGGTTTAGGGGTTAATGTGTTAGTCTATTAACATGCAGGGCTGTGAAGATCCTCCTTGAAGTTCAGATGTTTGATCAGATGTGACAATGACTGAATGAGTGAGAGAATAAAAGTAATAAAAGTCAATAAAAACTTTACCAAGTGTTTTATATAAATGGAAGAAGGACACGAAAGATAACAAGCATCATGCTTTTAAAAATCAGTAGCAGGCAAATTTGCAATAAAAAGAAGAGATACTTGTTGTTGATCAGTAAATTACAGTAATAATTATAATATAGTTATTTAGTTATAGCATTAGAGAACAAAAGGAAATCAGGAAGTCATTTCAAAATCTTAAAGATCCAGAAGAAACTTCTCTCTCGTACATGCAAACATATTTATTATGGATGTTTATTCCCTGATGATCCGTCGTCACCGTGAAAATCCGTCACTTTTGTACTGTAACAGACAGTAAGATACACTCATTGTTGTAACTTTATTATAATATATTAGATTATTTACCACTGTGAATATTTTTGCCACTTAAACTGTCACTGTTTCTTTATTCCACAATTAAATGTAACTTTAGCTAACAGCTAATTGACATCTGTTGTTTTCCAGTAAATAAATACATAAAATATCAGTGCGAGATAATAAATAGAATCAATATGATAATGAAGAGTTTCTTACAATCAGTGCTTACATACAATATACAATCCTTTTTAGGAATTATTAGGAAACTTGTTAACGATTCATTTCTGATTTGTTCCTCAGTCGTTTCCCAATTAACTAATCATCAGTTAATTGTTCATTAGTTCCTCGTTTGTTTCCTGGTAGCTTCTCAAAATGTTGTCACTGTAATACTGTTCTTTTAATTATTTTAAAGATTATATGTATATATATATATTTATAGTATAAAACTGGAGCCTCCCAGACTTTCGCCCTCGTACTCCGCCGGTGTTTTGGGTTCCCAGGGCGGCTGTGGAGAGATTGGTCTACCACATTGAGTCTGATGTAGTAAACAAGACTTCCAGGTCACGGCGTCCCGTTCGGTAACATGGCAGGATCGTTTGTCCCACCCGTGGGAGTTTCCCCCCCGGACACTTCCCTCAGGGTCCCTCAGGGTCCCTCAGGCTGGCTGCTGTCCCCTCCAGCAGGTCCTCCACCCTGCAGTGTCCCCCGGCCTGCAGCCTGCTGGGGGGGTGGAGGGTGGACGCAGTGTCAGAGGTGGAAGTGGATGAAGTTTCCAGATGCTCCACCAGTGTTTGCACTGCTGACACTGCAGCTCCGGGCTCTTTGTGCGCACTTAAGTCCACGATTTATGGTTTATTGTGTCGACTTCAGGACGTCCCGCAGTCCCACAGTCACCTGAACCTCACAGATCCACTATCAGTTCATCTCTTCATTAATGTTGGACCTCTAGCTCAGACCATGAACCATAATACTGTTGCATCCCTCCTTTCCTTGTCAGCGGTGTAGTAGCAGATAGATAATAATAAGAAGAATATTACTTGTATCTGATTCGAACCAAATGATATAATGTGTTTGGAATCTAATCGATCTGATGTTGTTCAGTAGCTTGTTCATACTGATAAAAGTTTAAACACGGGAAAACATAATACCAAACTCCCTTTAAGAAACACGTTTTAACAATTCCTAACGTGTCTGTAAAACACATCCCTCTAGAATATGTCCACACAGTCAATTCAGTATCAATATAATCCATGAAGACAAGCAGACAAACTGTGCATTTAGGATTTATTCTCCTATCCTGTCAGTCTCTGTTGGTTCGTGTGTTATTTTACTGGGAGAAGACTGTAGAATGAGAGGCGGATTGTTTTAAAACATACGATTTCTCAATAAAATAAGAGCTGTTTGGTGGATCGATATACACAGAATTAAACACAGACTCATTCATTGTCTGTGTGATGGTGTTTGAGTTTTTATGGTCGTTACCATAGTAACTGCACGATTCGCTGGTTGCTGTTTGGTGTTGAGACGACAACGTGAAGACGTGCGTACAGGTGTGCGCCGTACGCTTTTATAGATCTGCATATTCTTTCTTGTGTAAAAAGATTTTGAAGTTTGTGAGAACGCAGTGTTTTAGGATGGAAGCATAATGGAAATTTTGCGATATTCAAACTGTAGATAACACGGTGGTTCAACATGGTGGACTCAAAAACAGAGTCATTAAAAGTCAGTAAAAAACAGCACATTCAGGTCATAATACACTAATAAAAACATATATTATATTCCATTTGTGACAATAAATCCATGTTACACACTGGAGCTTTAATAAACTACGAACTGATAATGCTTTTACAGTCTCAAACTGTTAGCACACGGAGGAATATTCATTTAAAATCATATAGTACTATCTATTTATCTATCTATCTA